ACCAGGGGGTGTTCAGCTTGGATATTAGGGAAAGTTTCATCACCAAAAGGGTGGTCAAGCACTGGAAGGGGCTGCCCAGGGCAGTGGTGGACTCACCATTCCTGGACTTGTTCTCAAAAAACAAGTAGATGTGGCACTTGGGGACACGGCTCGGTGGGCCTGGTGGCATTCAGCTGAAGGTTGGACTTGGTGATCTTGCAGGTCTTTTCCAACCTAATTGGTTCTGTGATCCTACGTGAGAACCAGCCTCGGGTCCCTGCTGCTGGTCCCACCTCTGTCCCGCGCTCCTGCCCATTATCCCAGCCGTGGATTCCCCCACATCCCTCCCAGGCCTGCACAGGGAGGAACGGGCAGTTTCTCCCTGGGTTCAGGGAGAAATAAGGGGCTCTTGGGTGGGATGGAAAAGCGTCCTGCCCTAGGTGGGTGGTGACGGGTCCGATTGCAGCTCTCAGGAAAGCCCGGCGGGAGGAGCAGTTGGTGAGCAAGCGGCTCCTGCGGGAGGACAGCGCGGTAGAGGAAGTGGGACAGGATGGAGCAGACGCCGTGCCGGACCCACTCTCAGAGGATGAGGTGAAGAACATGGCGTTCTCTGTGGTGATGGGGGTCTTTCCCAACATCAACAGGTGAAGGAGGCTGGGTAGGGGTGGCTTTTGGAATGTTTCTGAGTCGCTGCCAGACACAGTGAGGTTCTCTGTGCCCATCTTTATGCCCTGGCTTTCTTTGCCTCCAGGATTAACGGGATGAAATCTTAATGCTGGTAACTTCTGGAAGCTCACCCATGTTTTGATTCCTTGGCCAGGTCCTCGAGCTGCTCAGGGCTGTGCAGAGGGGCTCAGAGGACAGGAAGGGATCGCTCGGCCGCCTCCGCCGGGCCCTGCAGAACGAGGAGACCCAGCAGAAGTTTGTCAGGTCAGCCTGGCTCTGGTGTGGCTGTCACCGTGTCCCAAAGGGCCCTTTGTGCTGGTGGCTGGGTGGGTGAGGGCAGGGTGGGAGGTGACAGCGACGTTTGTGTCCCGCCAGGCTGGAGGGCAGCGTGCGGACACTCACGGGGCTGTTCACCAGCAGCCTGGCCGACATGCAGCTGGAGGCAGCGCGTTGTCTGCACGAGCTGTCCCACTCCAGTGACCCTGCTGTGGCCGAGGCCTGTCTGCCCGTGACCTCCTACCTCCTCACGTACCTGTCGGGGCACAGCGTGGAGTTCACGGTGAGGTCCATGCTCTGGCTCTGAGGATCCCCTGGTAACAGCTGGCATTGACCTCTCTTGGCCAAACCTGCCTCACGTGGGAGTGCTGGTGGGGAGGGGCCCTCTGGGAAGCCTCTGGTGCGACCTTCCCCTCGGAGCAGAACTGTCCCCAGTGCCCAAGTGTTACAACCCACCCCAAAGGTGTGGTAACTGAGGTTCTTGTTAATGGTAGGCCCCTTGGGTGGGATGAGAGTGAAACAACACTGAATGACTGGTGTTTATACATATATATATGTATATGTGTATATATATGGCAGGTTTATTTTAGAACAGTTTGGTGGCAATGGAAAGGAGGTATGTAAACGTTTTGGTTATTATCTATAGAAACATAAAAATGTAAAAGTATAAAGATATCACTTAAGAAAATATATGAGGAAAAGAAAATAAAAATAAGAGTAAGTAGTAGAGAGGAAAGATAGCACCACCAGTGGATCCAGTGGCGAGACTTGACTGTTGCAGTTTCAATGCCCTCCAAAGTGGAAGTGATCAGATACCAACCTGAGCCAGACAGAAAAAGAACAAACTGAAGCTGGCACAGCTGGGAATGGGGTGGCTGGAGAGTCCAGCAGTGTCTGTGTGTCTGGGTTCAGCTCCTGCCCTGCTCGGAGGAGGCTGTGGGACCTGGGCCCTGCTGGCTGCCCAGGGGAGCACAGACAGGGTCACGGCTCTGTGTGTTGCAGGAGCTGTGTTTGTACACACTGGGGAACCTCGTGGTGGAAAGTGAAGCTGTGAGGAAGCGACTTCTGCCTCAGGGCATCATTCCAGTGCTGGCATCCTGCATCCAGGTGGGTGAAACAGCTCAGCCACGCTTCTGCTCCTGGCCTGCCCTAGAGAGACTTTTCTGGCTGACAGCCCTGAGTCAGCAGCCCTCCTTCCAGCCCTGGCTGTGGGCACAGACCCCTCGAGTGTGAGGGTCACTCCTGGGCTCTCCTGCACTCCATTTTTGGGGCTCAGCTCACCGCCTATTGCTCTTCTCCAGCTGAATCTCTCCCACCCAGTGGCTTGCTGATTCAGTCTGTAAC